TTTTTCCTAAAAATATTAAGATACTAGATAATAATATGGTACTTATTCAAATAAAAGAATGGTTCGCAAATAAAAAAATTGTAAGTATTTGTATAGAAAATAATAGTTAATAAATAGTATTACATTATAAATTATAAAACCAGACAAGTCAGAAAATATATTCAAGTGTCAAAATACGATCTAAATTACATGATAAATTCAAACAAACTGTAATAAATTGTGTAAAGATAATAAATTTGAGACTTTTCTTATACCCCAACTATATATATTTGCGCATTTAGTACATGATGTTCCAATTAAATCGATTTAGTTACTCAACTTTTCGTTTATCAATAAATTTTGGTCCACTCGTAAGATTTCATTAAAACAAATAAATAAATAACGGTTTTAGAAAAAAATTCGTTAAATTCATGGAAAACTATATAAAAAAAAATCGTTAATACTATGTCAATTTGTTCTATTAATAATAATAATAAAAAAACTAAAGAACATATATATATTATATAGGAATCTACTTTTAGGCTTTTAATTCTGAACTTTACATTGTTGCTTCTCGAGTTACAAATAAAAAGACACAAGATACTGATATATATTGAGAAATAAAATATACATATATAAACATTATATATAGTAGTCTATTTTAATTGCATATCAAAATTATTTATTCTAATTATGTTTTCTTATTTTATTTATTTTTAATAGTTTCGTGCATTTGCACGGGCCACGATACTAGTATATACATATATACTGTAGCATTTATGTGATAATAATATTGAAAAAATAATATATACACTATAATTATGGATTTATAGGAAAAATTTCAAAACTATTCTCACATGTATAGGGTGGTGACATTTTTTGTCTCAACGGAATGCATAAAATATGAATAGTCCCACAGCTTTTTAAAAATGATCAAAAGTATGATTTTTTGTTGTCGGATTTACTATTTTCTGCCCGGAGCGCCACGTCGCGTACATGTGGCTTATTTTTTAACACGCTGACATAGGACGTGTTCATATTATTACAAGTTGTGGAACTATTCATATTTTCTGCATACCCGTGGGACCAAAAATGGCACCCCCTCTATACCTGTGGGACTAGTTTTGGTTTTTTTTCAATTTACGTCGGATGCCAACGTATAAAAAAATAAGCTACATGTGCGCGACGTGGCGTTCCAGGCTGGAAAAAGTAAATCCGGCAAAAAAAGTTATACTTTTGAATTTTTAAAAAACTGTGGGACTATTCATATTTTCTGCATTCCGTTGGGATAAAAATTATCACCCCTATATTTATGGGACTAATTTTGAATTTTTCCAAAATTTATATACGAAACCATACTTATTATAACAATTAAAAATATATTCAATAATCAACTTTGACACTATATGTAAACATGCTATGCGTAAGCTTAAATTTGAAGGATGACAAAGACAAAGATAGGTCAACGGACCAACGCGTGACCACGTCTGATTCTATCTTGACATTAGTGCTAAGGCTACGTTTGGTTAAATAAGCTAGCTTATAGCTTATTTGGTTAGTTTATAAGTTTCCTGTATTCAAATAAGCCCCATTTGGTAGGACGAGCTTATTTAAAAAGCTCGAGTTTATTTGATAAGCTTGTTTAGGTAGCTTTTCAAATAAGGTAGTTGAATTTTTTATTCCAGCTAGTTTATCAGCTAATTTTACCAAGCACTTTTATCATATAAGCTAGTTTTTCAGCTATAAGTCATAAGTTATAAGCTATAAGCTCGAAAATGGCATATAAGCTATCAGCTAGCTTATCAGCTAGCCTATGTTTGGTAAAACTAGCTGATAAACTAGCTGATAGCTGATAAGCTAGCTTATAGCTTATATGTAATTTTTGAGCTTATAGCTTATAACTTATGACTTATAGCTGAAAAGTTAGCTTATATGATAAAAGTGTTTGGTAAAATTAGCTGATAAGCTAGCTGGAATAAAAAATTCAACTAGCTTATTTGAAAAACTACCTAAACAAGTTTATCAAATAAGCTCGAGCTTTTTAAATAAGCTCGTCCTACCAAACGGGGCTTATTCAAATACAAGAAGGACCAAACGGGGCTTATTCAAATACAAGAAGCTTATAAGCTAATCAAATAAGCTATAAGCTAACTTATTTGATTTACCAAACATACCCCTAACCTAATTATTCTTAAAATAAATAAATAAATAAATAAAATAACCTTAAGAGATTCGAATTATTCTCATGACTTTGAATAGTTGTCCCAACGATATCTTTAAAGCTGCTATATATTAATTACAACTAAAAGAAATAAATTAAGAATCTGGACTTTTTTGACCTGGGTAATGTACATGTTTAAATAGTCAAACATTCTAAGATTTTATCATATATTTTATGGGAGTAATAAAATAAAAAAAGTGAAAAGGGACAGTTTTTTTCAATAAAATAAAATTAATTGGACACTTGTCACCTTAGGAATGTACATGTTGAAAATAATAATGCACAACTAAATATTCGTGCAAAAAGGTCAATAAAAAAACATCATCCTGTGTCACAATATTTTGGAAACTAAACATATATTAATGATATTATTTTTGAAGTATCCCTTCACGAGCGAGCTTCGCCGTGAAACGTGACTTTTTTTTTTTTTTTTGGTAGCCAGCCACAATCCGGAGTTATGCCCCGACCAATCCGTTGGTCGACCCAGGTCGCACACCTGGCAGTGGTGAATGAGTCTCCCAACAAGGGTTTTCTGCATCCACAAGGACTC